ATATAACGATTTGGTCATGCGTTAACCTTATAGAAGACTTGAATAAGCCGCTTATCTCATTAAAAACTTATTTTATAAAATAATCAAGCCTCAACGTTCTGGAAAAGGTTGGAAAGTGCGAAGTGATTTATATAATCAGATGGCGTTAAAATAAAAACAACAACTAAAATTAAATAAATATCGTGGTACTCAAAGAAAGCTCTAAACAATATAACTAGTGGAGTCATTTTCAATGTCTCCGCTAGCTTAGAAAATAGTAGAATGAAAAAATACTAAGCACTTTTAACTGTCCATCTAAAATTAAATAGTTTACCAGTAACGGTATAGGTTAAAAATAAAGTAAATGTATATATATATAAACAACACACATCATGTAAAGAAGTTTATACCAGCTGACGACCTTATCCTGGACTAGCAGTGGTGAAGGAAAACAAAGATAACTATTGAAGAGAATTGTTTTTCTTTAGGTTGGAGAATTGTTATATTTTTGCCAACACCTTGTAGGTCGATAGTGTGGTAGGTAGGTAAGTAAGTAAAATAGATTGGTGGAGGGACGGAAAAGTAGTTGGATGGTTAAAGAAAAAGAGGAATGGATAGGTAGGTAGATAGAAAAGTAGATGATAGATAGAGAGGTAAGTGATAAATAGGTAAGTAGTTAGCTGGATATAATACTCAGAAAATACCTGAAAAAGATGGCTTACTGGGTATTGTCTCAAATGAACCGTAAGAATGGTGAACAAAATATTCATTCATGGTAACACGTATGCTGTAAATTAGTTATGGTACCCTCTTCATCAAATTATGGTGAGATAGAAATCTTCTGAAGATAGAATATTTCTATCTGTTTTTTCTCGTTTTGATGATGAGAAACCCTCTAGAATACCAATGGATTGATGTTGTTCAAGCTTATTCAAAATGGTAGGCGTGATCTGATTTTTCTTCTTCAGATTTTCAGAGCACACGTAGCTGTTCTGTTAGCAATTAACTTCTGGTATTCTATAAATATTATATTACAGTCTGCAACATTTACTGGCGTCAACCGCTTTTTTCAAGCAAAGGACATTAAACCGACGGTCTCTTGTTACAATAATTTGTTGTGAAATTTTGTTAATTTCTATTCTTAAGAATATCATGAACGATCTACTGAAAAGAACAAAATTTAGAAATGACAGTTTACTGTATGGAAATATTTATGGCATCACGCTGCTTGTTTGTTTTGCTGTTAAGCATAAAGCTAAATGGGCTATCCGTGCTGCATCGTGGGTATAGAAACCCGATTTTTAGCTTCATATCCCCTCAGATTTATTGTTGAGCCACTGGGGGCATATCGTATTGCATATAATTATGTATACTCATATACATATTAGCATATATTTATATAAAACTGTTACTTATTCTGTATTGGTCAAATAACAAAAACTTTGTGGAGTTTACCGTGAAGAGACGCTTCAAACATAAAATATATTATTTATGTAAAATAAAAATATGTAAACTAATTTTCCGTATCCAATGGAAAAACAACAACTGAAGACCTAAATAGCCACTAGAAATATATATGCAAAACATCTGGTAATCTTCAGAAATCTTGGTAATCAGTTTTACCACGATTAAGAATATTTCACGTGTTAAGAGGAAAAAAAAATCCGTGGTTTCAGAATGTAACCTGCTTTCTGACTTTATTTACTAGATGATTTAATATTACGTGACAGATAAGCTTCCAAAGAACTTCTCTATATGTTTCTTATTTGTCTATAACATTAGGAAAGACGCCCTTTTCAAATAGCATTAAATTAGGTTTCAAACTTTCACTTCCTTATTATATATAATAATTACATTCTCAATAATAACAATTATTTTTTGTTTATTATTCACTTCTTTGTTTGTTTGTTTGTAATTAAGCGCAAAGCTACACAATGGGCTATCTGTGCTCTGCCCACCACAGGTATCGAAACCCGGTTTCTAGCGTTGTAAGTCCACAGACATACCGCTGTGCTACAGAGGGGGAGGGGGCTACACTGCTTCAAAATCAGAAATAAATAGCTCAGTATTCCTGGTGGTTTTTAAAGATATTCAGTCATAAAGGCTAAAGACCATAGAGCCCCTCATTTGATTTAGTTACCTGAAAAATTTTCTTCTGAACTTTGTATGAGTTCTTCTGCAGGTATTTAATCTCGAAATGTTGGGCAAACAAAATGCGTTGAAGTTCTGTGATTTCTTGTTGCTATTTTTTGGAATATGTCAGTCATACTCTGGCTAGCAATACGTTACTTAAAGAAGAGTGGGGGAAATATTAAAAATAGTTTATTATTTATTGAAACTTATCGAAGGAAGAGTGGTGTGAGGTTTAACGTGTTTTGAGTGTCTTTAGGGAAAATATAATTTAAACCCCGGACGGCATCTTATGCATTCATGGACTGAAAGGCCATGTCTAATCCCAAGGATACGAGTTTATCCATTCCTACTGACCAGAGCGCAGGCAGCAGTTAGTTGCACGCAGCCACAAAACTTGTGTCCCGCTCTTAGAACCGGGTAACGGGTCTGACTGTCACGTTAATAATGCGCCCTCATCTGAAAGTGTGGAATGTGCTCAGAAGCATCATGTCTTGAACACCGTGCCTTTCATGTGCAGACCAACACGGTGACCACTTAACCACGCCCAGCTTATGCCTTTAATGATTAATATGTTAGCATAATTCCACGCTCCTATCCAATCTTTCTTGAAATCAAAATGATCCGTATATGACGTCTAAAGCAAAAAGAATGTAACATACTGTTAGACATTTCAGTATCCTACGGGTCTTATTAGGTAGAAGGCGGAATAGGCAGTAACAAATCTAAATCGTATTGTCATCTTAATGAGTGTATAAAGATTTTTCTTCGTGTCACAAGATGCAGCAATTTCTAAAATCAAGTTATAAATTATTTAATTTGAAAATGGTTTAAAAACTTCCTACATCATCGAATATTTGAGGAAGAATTCAGGAACATATAATTCAAATTATACACTAAGTAATTGTGGGCAATATGATGAATTGTGTAAAAAAAAAGATTAAAAGTTTCCTTTATTTTGCTTACAGTTAAACTTTAAGGCGATGTAACAAAAATTGTTTCTTGCATTTAATGCTAGAGAGAGAAGTAACTTTGTCTAATTATATTAAACATGTTTAAAATCATCAAATTAATAAAATTCATTAAAAAGTATTTTGATTTACAAGTGTATATAATTTACTCTATCATTCCTGGAAAAGAAGGTGGATACACAGTTTTCTGTGAGTATTGTAACAGATGGTATTAGCAGATATGTCATAAATATGGGAAAAAAAGACTACTTTACCTGGTCTACCAGTGCATTAAACAGTTTTGGTTGACTTGGTTTACCTATTGGAGAGCTATTATTACAAGAGTGAAATGTGATTAGGTTAAAAGTGTTTTCTAGACTCCCGTTACAGCTTTTATCCATATTATCTGGACGACTTTTATTCACCTAATAACGTTCTTATTGTAAATGTTTGCTTCAGGAAAATCTTCTTGTAGAAGTAGAAAAATATATTTTTGGCACATACAACATTTTAAGTTTCTAGACATTTCACGTAGCAGCCACTCACGTTTTGTGGCGCTGACTGTTTGCATAGGATCATTTCCGCACATTGAATTACGACGTTGGATTTACATAGCCCCATTTAATTTAAACCTGAGATGTAGACAACCGTTTTGATATATGAAAAGCAGAAGATTGAAAAGCAAGATGAACAAAAGTTTTGAACCTCTAGCTAAATGTCATGCTTGGTGGAGAGAAATGATGAGAGGATATATTAGTTTTTTCCTTTTAATTTCAGTCGAGTTTCAGTCTACAGACTTCCACTTGGTCGAACTGCGCCCATGTTGGCACATTGCCAACACGTTAATTAAAATGTACACATCATTGGATGGTCTGTGGTCCAATAACCAATAATATTCTTTTGTAGTTCTTAAGCCTAATATTAAGCTAAAAATTTAATTCATGGCAGACGGAGCAACTGAGTAATAATGAATTAAACTAAAGAGACTGAAGAGACAAAAATATAAATATTTAAACATTGAGTTAGTGAGAAACACATGTATATATATATATATATATATATATATATAGCGTTCAGTTTTATTTTTTCAGCTCAAGTATATTTAAAACTTTACAATTATAAAAATGATGAATAAGGTGGAACTGATTAATTGAACTCAATCCTTTCTATGCA